AAAAAAAAAAAGACTTGCCTTTTGGGACATTGCCCAGCTCTTTCTAAACACTAGTGTAGAAAAGGAATGAAATGTGGGTCATTAGTCTAGGAATTCCCTGAACATGGTTGATAGCCATTCTTCCTGACAAAAACCCTGATTTGTCCAGATCCCTCAGTCTCCCCATCCATAGCTTTCCTGGCCTAGGCTCTCTACCCCAATCCCAGCCTCTTCCTTATCAGATCCTATCCACTGAATCCTCACTCTTTCTCATCTCTCCCAGGATTGAGTCCTCTGCTCCCTGTCTGGACTTTCTTATTTCATGTTCCTTTGTCCCATGCTGAACTCACGCCAAAGCCTCCCCTCTCCCCAATACCCCTCCATTTCTCAGCTCCCACTCTCACCCACCGGGCAATGATCTCCCAGAGCCGTAAAGCATCCTGGGCATAGAGGGCACTTGGGAGTCCCAGCAGGCCACGGTCAGCCAGATCATCAGGAGGACAGAGGGAACAGTAGGTCAGGTGAGCCATGGCCCGACGGAGCAACTGCATATGGCCCCCTCCACCTGTGCTCACCCCCTGGGACAAGAGAGATGAGAGGTCTTGAGGAAAAAGACAGAGCATAGTATATAAGCAGTTCAGGTGTGAGGTTTTTACTTTTGAAGACATGAGTATAAAGGGACAGGTTATAATGTAGGCAGAGTTTAAGGGTCAGGACATTCACACAGATTGGTCTGGGGTCTTAAAAGTGGCAGGAGGTTATAAAGAGTTGGATGATTAGGCTGCCCCATTGCTTCCTTACCTTATCAAATATACCTCCGTCTGAGATGAGCTGAGTCCTTGCCCGGGTGTTGATCTCCATGGTGTAGCGGGTGTGTGGGATCAGGAGCTGGATGGAGAGGATTGGAGGGGGTTGTTTATGGAGGACATGCTTGGTCCTTTATTAGGAAGTGGCACCCAGCATGTTGGCCTTCTCTCCTCTTGATGCTTTCCTCCTTGTAGTGCCTTTGCGGGCTAGTCTCCTGCTTCTCTGATCACTTAGTCTCATGCTCTTTGGTCCTCTGTGAGTCAGGCTTTGGAGCTGGACTGACCTGGGTGGGTTTCAGTCTGCACTTCACCACTCATTTTGATCCTCACCCAAGGTAATGGACCCTCTAAATGTTAATTTGTTTCATCTCCTGTGTATTGCCTCATTTGTCTCATCACTATGGAGCACCTCATCTGTCAATAAGGGGTGATAATAAGGTCTCTTATCTCAGGAGGCAGTGGTGATGCTTATGTAAGTGATGTATGAAGAGGGTTTAGTATATATAGAAGTCCTCAAGTTGCAATTGTTACAATTTATCTTCATTATTTCTACCTGGCGAGTAGGTGTCTTCAGAATCAGTCCCTTTTGATTTTCTTTTATACTTATAGCTTGTATCTGCCTCTCTACTCATTACCAAAGCCACACTTCCGTTCTCTGGTCACTTCACTGTCTTATTAGTCAGAATAAGAAAAGCCATATTGAGTTATCTACTTAGGCAGCAGAGGAGCTGTCATCAAATCTGCCCCTCCCCCAATTAGGCAGTTAGTTCCCTTCAATTTTTAATAGCTTTAAAAACAATAACTTTCCTTAGGAATTAAAAAAAGGCCACGTGAGCCTCACATGCATTTCTCTTTATCTTAGACTAGTATTTTGTCTTTATTTCCACCCAGTTTATATACAGATTTCATGCAGTGTTGATGTTTATCTGAGTTATTGATCCTGGACTCTGGGAACGACCCAAGTGAGACCTCTGGTGTCAAGATGTCAAAGCAGCTTATATTAGTCTGAAACTTCAGAAAGTTCAGGAAAGATGCTGAGTGTCACAGAAAGCCTAAAGTCCACCTGAGGAGAGAAGATACCCGAGGACAAACAACTCCTAGTAATAGTAATAATAATTGAAAGGACTATTGGTTTTTGTAGCGTTCAGCCTATTATGTATCACCTTGTTATGTTGTTTTATCCTTCAACAACCCCACAATGGAGCTCCTATTGTCCCCATTTAGAGATGAGGACACTGAAGCAAGTATCTGGTAAGTACTGAGGTCAGGGTTCAGGATTTGACCCCAGCAGTCTGAATCCAGAGCCTACACACATAACCTTTATGACATTTGCTGGTTAGTTCTCTTGTGTGTCCTCATAACAACTCAGGGGTTCACCATGGATTGAAGTTGTTTTGGTGAGTGGATATCAGTAGGAAGAGGACTGAACTAGTAAAGGGGGATTTCAAATGTGAATAGAGGCTTAACCTATTCAGGATGAGCAGAAGATGGTGATGCAGGAGCACCCTGAGATCAGTAACATCTAAGATTCTATTACTCACACTGGTCTCCATCTTGTCTATGTTACCCCAGCTTCAATGAGACCATAACTACTATTGGCCAGGCTTCGGGGGTCCGCATGTAGGTCCCAGCTTGAAACACAGTTCAGTTGTTCTTCCCAGGTACTCACTTGCATGCCTTACCATTTCACACCCCATGGACCTAACACTGAACACCTCATGTTTGCTTCTAAACTGGCTTCTTCTCATGGCTGCTGTTTTGGACAATTGCCTTGTTTCATAAGCTTCTATCAGTGTTGTCCCTTCTCTGCCATGTTTTCTATATTTAAAGTGTCATCAAGAGCAAGCCCCTGAGTCCAGCTCGCTTTTTCCTGTACGACGCATCCCAGGCTTCCTCTCACCACCTTTCCACTCGGCCCATAGCTAAACCATTCCTGACTCCCTTCATGGCGTCACTTCTGTGCTGTGGGCCCAAACTGGCCGCCTGTGGCTTCGTCCTCAGCTCTTGGGGAGTGATCATGTTGGTGAGGGGACTGGCTGGCGAGAACCAGAGAGGGCCTCATGGGCCCCGGGGTTGGAGGGCTGGAAGGCGAGCGGACTCCAGGCCTTAGGAAGCAGCGGGCAGGCTGGAGAATGAGACAGAACTGAGATTGAGAAATGGGAACTGGAGCGGGACGGGTAGTGGGGGGAGGGAGTTGGAGCTTGGAATGGGAGCCTGGGCTGGTAAATTTGGAGACTCCTCATGGTAAAAGGGAGAAGAGCTGGGTTTTTGAGAGAGGCTTGAACCAAATGGGAGGGCCCAAGAGGAAAGGGAGTGCTTGTTCCTGAAAAGGCTAGCTGGGGTCTTGTTTCCCCAGGACTCTACCCGCCCCACTCCAGGAAGAAATATGAAGGAGCCTCGATTTTTCCTGACTCCTTTTGCCCTGTCCTGTGATAATGACACCTCTGACGAGAAGGATAATCTGGGTTCCTGTGTTGCTCACTAAAGTGTCATCAAGATTTTGAGAACATTTTTAAGCAAGTACAAGTCTTCTTTTGCTGCCTTCTGCCTAGCACTAGATACTGAACTCACTCTTTTATAAATTTACAACACGCCCACCTCTTAGGTGTTGCAGAAGCTTAGACCTCTGATCTTCCTCATCTTATTCCCAGGCATGTTCACCTGCTGTTTCCTCCCTTCATTAAGTCTGATTTTTTTTCCTTTTCATTCCTGTCACCACTTCATATATCTTTCTCCTCTTCTCTCCTAGGCAGGTAGCCTGTTGGGGTGTTCTTGCCTTTTGATCTGTTCCTACTTAGCAGACTCCTCAGTTGGGCTAGGACAGTCTCCATCACTACTATAATGTTTATAGGATGTTTTTTGTGATTTCGAATTCTACTGGGTTGTCAGAAAAGTTATGACGTATTTTTTGTATGTTTTTTGTTGCAAAAATGCGTCATGACTTTTATGACACCCCAATAGTTCCAGATAGTGTTCTCTGGTTGGTTCTTATGGGCATCACTTGTCTTCCTGGCTAACCAGTAAATCTCCTAAGGCAGAAGAAAGGTTTTTGTTTTACTCACAATATTCCAACAATACTCTACACCTGTTGCTAGATTGTCAGATCTCTGGAATTCCAGAGGGTTCCCTTATGTCTAGAAGAAACGTTAAGTGGTTTGAGTCGATTAAAATACAAGGCTTAAGGGCCGGCCGAGTGGCGCGATGGTTAAGAACTCGCTTGGGATGCCAGAGGGCCCCGGTTCGGATCCCACATATGAGGGCCAGTGACACTGCCCT